CGGAATAACCGCGTGATATTCGCAAACCGCTAACAGGCAGCCAGTAGTATGGAATTGTGTAATTATTTACTGTACTAACAACACAGGTATTAGCCAAGAGCCCAGACACGCGTGTTTCGCCGATCTTGCGCAGCTGCCTTACGAAGCTGCGAGCAGTTCGGCTCGTCATTGGATCCCCCTGTGTTTTCCGGTATATTAACTCCAGGTTCACCCTGCCTTGCTTAATTTCCGAGAAAATTAAAGCGCGAGCTTGGAGTAAGTCTTTCGGAATATATCTTTCCAGCCACGGTTCGAAATTTGATATGAATATTTGAGTTGGAATTCATCAGCTACTGCGGGTTAACCGCGTAATATTCGCAAACCGCCAACACACTGTCAGTGGTATAGAATTATGTTTTTATGTACTATACTAACAACAGCAGCTGGACGCATGGCGTGTTCGGGAAGACGTGGCATGTTGGGCACGCGTAGCAATGGCCTGATTTGCATTTGATTTCCATTTGATCTAGAGAAGTTATTTAAAAAACTTCAGTAGCAAGTAAACATAAACAAGAGCGTTCTCAGAGGGCCCACATTTGATTGAACGAAATGATCTTCAGGGACTTCGGCTGATCTTATAAGACCGGAAAAAGTAGAGGGAAACAGTCCTGATACGGCTTTAGCCAAATTTTAAACCTCATGAAATCAACATTAAATGAGGAAGAAATGCCCCCTTTTCCCGTGCTTATAAAGGTAAAGACTTCCGTTCATTTTCTACATCTGGATGACCTTACATAAATGACAGAAACAAGGTCGAGGATACGGGAACGATGGGAACAATTCTCGAGTAGAATGCATGTTGGCTTTATGAGCGTTTTTAGAGTCCGTTGGCAACCGCATGTCTATTTCCTAAAAGCCAATATGACGTGCACTAGGAAAGCTGGCATTTTAAGGGAATTGACAAGTTTCGGGATATTTTCTTCTTACCATGAGTTTCGATAAATTTCAGTACCGAGATCGCTTTGACGCCACAGTTGAAGAATAACTCGTCGTCCCCAATAGATTCATATGTTACGATTGGAAGGCCAATTGGCAAGCATATGGTAGCTATGCTAGCTCATGAAATGGTAACCGACATTCTAAAATGCGTTTTCGGTTCGAAAATATTACTTAAGTGGGGTTGCAATACTAATCCCCGTGCAGCATAATCCAAAGATAATTCAGTTACTTCGGGATGCCAGCTTTTGGACGAACTTCTTTCCGGCTGCTTAAAAGGACTATGCCCTGCGAAAAATGACTACTTAAATAGTGGGAATTTTTCCCATTGACTTACTATGTCCTGAAAAATACGAATATGTTTCATAGAAAACATGGACGAAAATACTAATTCTTTTGCTCATTTAGAAGAAAATCGTGTCTGCTTTAGATTTTATATTTGAAAGAAGGGCATAATTCGGTTGGAAAAACTTTTCCAATTCCTGAATACTTTACTATCAGACCTGCCGCTACACTTGCATTAAAGGTTCCCAAACTACAAGCTGCATATTTTCCGTGTACAGAAGATCATACGTTTCTATACGTTATTTAAAGTAACCTTTATGGGGTTAGCAAAATAAAGCACCGGGATTAAGCCATACTGTAAACTTTACAAGCAGCATTAGTAAGTGCAGAGACATGGTGTTTTATGAGTGGGCATTCCACGGTCTTGAAAAATCTCATAACTAGAAACTTTTTAAAACCAAATTATCCCTTTCCTTCAAGTATAAAATTTGAAGAAAACGAAGAAGAATGAATATTTTTATCCATGGTTTTATGAAACATTTGAATTTATAAGAGCATAGAAAGTCAGTGGAGAATGAACTCCTGAGCTCTAAACCGGATTTACACGCGTCTCGGAGGGAAGGGTTGGTCACGCTCGTCGTTCCCACGCTGCCCGCATCACAAAGTCGGCGTGCTGAGAACGTCAGAGCTGGGGAAGGGGGAGGCGGGAGGGGGGGGAGGGTTCGCGGTTGGGCGTGAGCGCTGTCGGTGGTATGACATTTGTCAGGCAGATGTGGTCCACGTATCGACCGTAAAAGTCATTGTTGTTCATATCCTTGCTACTCATTTGCTTGACCTCGCCCAAGGATACTATCAATGACCTACGGCCGATACGTTAATGATATCTTCTGTCTGACAATCAAATTCAATTCTCGCACATCTAATCGATACGAACCACCAAGTTGACGCCAAAGAAGCCTTCCAAGTTATCTACCGGGCACCGGCACACTAATCTAGAGGCCTTCGCAAACGGGTGCTAACAACGGGCAAGGCAGTGGCTATCCGGTTGGTGAATACAGTGCTCTGTTGCCGGAAGACGTTGACACACAAGCAGTCTGTCTTCCCCGGCCGACTCCAGGCCGTGATCGCACGCTGCCCCAACGCCCTGCGAACAATCACAAGCACTCCGCGCGTTTGGCATACAGACAGCGCTCAAGCCATACCCTTCCCCTCCTTCCCACCCCAGCTCCAACGTCCTTAGCACTCTGATTCCGTCATGGAGGCCGGCGTGGGGACGATGAGTGTGACTAATCCCTCCCCCGAGACACATATAAACCCTGTCTTGTCACAGTGATCTTCGAGGCGGTTTACCGGAAAAAGTGCAAGACTGGAATAACCATCTTCGAGTCTTAACTTTTGTCTGGCAAGTCCAAGCCAGTGACCTTGACACTTCACACGTCCACTCATGCTCTGTCTTCTGCGATCGGTGATACTTAAAGTCACATGAGAGTAGCGTTCACTGATTTCGGTTTTTGCTCCTCCTGGTGAATCCGGGATGTGCACCGCACCAAATGGTGAAAGTAGGAACACACATGCGGTATGTGGCCTATCTCATGAAACCTGATGACAGAATTTGATGTGAGAATTTTCGAATGTCTTAAACGTTGCGCAAGTCGCTTTTTCGACCAACCTCTTCAAGGAAATGCCCTTTTCTTGAACAGAAAATGTGCCCACGTAATTATACCAGGCAAAATGTTCATAAGTTTGTGCGAAAATGGACGTTATCATATAGACCGGCAATTCTTTATACTAATATTTGCCCTAGACCTCAATGAAAGAAGATTAGTTTTTACCCTTGAGAGTTTTACTAAGCAGAGTTTGCCACACTTGAAAATCGATTTGTCGTCCGATGCTAACCGCGGGAATCATCTTGCTGACACACGGGTTATTTTAAGAGAACCAAGAGTTTTATTGATCCTTAGAAGTCAGATAAGCAAATCTGTGCGATTTTGTGCCCTAAAGTGCACTAGTAACTCACACGGACAATCCTTCATTTAAATGGGCCAAGATTGTTTTGGCGTATGGGAAATTCAGTTTTGTCATTAAAGTTACTACCAACGAATAGTTACTTTCAATGTTAGGCATATGAAACATTACCCTTCGTGCGGTCTACCTTCTTCGCTTACGTAATTTAGAAATGGAACGAGCGAAACACTGCCAGTTTCAGGAAAATATCTGCATTTATATGGCCACTCTGGCGTGCATTCATAATTGTAGCCTAAAAGTGAGCAAAGATGGCGAGAATGGACGCAATATAAATGGAAAGGCATGTTCTTACGTTTTTGGTAGCAAAACGTCAGTATCTTATAGCAACGTGAAAGAAACGGCCAAAAGTGTCCATCGTTTCTTGGCTTCATCGCTTCATTGGAGCACTCCTTAAAACGGCAACTTATAAAAGAACGTTCTTAATTGAACGAAATCATATTCGTCGGTGACTTTTGTTGTAGACGTTCATTTTATTCAACGACGGAGTTTCATGTTTGGGTCGGTCTTCAAATGTGACCTAAACAACCTTCTACATGAAAAGGCACGCCCAAACACTCGCTACCTCGACATATCCCTTCAAGAAACGTCTTATTGTAAAGGTTTTAACAAAAACATAATACATAATCCGTCTTTATGGGCAATCGAATTAAAACACTGAAAATCATGAAGTATTCAGCGATATTTCAAGGTCGATCTGAAACGCAACGTAATCCAGACTAAGAGACAGGTACAAATTAATTTGACGGTGGAAAAATGCTCCTTATATGCTCAAAATACCACGTTTACGATTCCACCCGTCAATGCTATTTAAATTTACTGGTCGCTGGTCCGCCTGGCAATATCTGCCCTTGAGAAGACTTTCGTTCATATGATATCAAGCAAAATCCTGTCTACCTTATTCAGCCATATCTCAGTCAAATTAAAAGCGTAAGGAATACCACAAATCCTCGGGAAACCGTTTTGAAATCTTTACTCAGAATTTAGGCTGTTGGGGAACCGCCAAGCTTGAAAGTACACTAATCCTTAAGGGATATTTAAGAGTAAACTTCACTAAAAAAATCATTTTCAAAGATTAGTCTATTTGTGCTTTCGTATTTACTTATTGTTTTGCATGGACAGATTTTCTGTACACATACGTTTGAAGTTTACTCATCTACAACCTTTTTTAACGTTTTCGACACTTTCTGCTTTTCCAAAAATGCTGGCATTTCTAAACAACGTAGCATTACCTTCGACATCTCTTTTACGTCTTAAATTCCCTTAAAGTTGTTATTTATTATCATAGATATTGGATCTACACATTGGCGTCGGTTTGCGAGTGATTAGCAATCAGACAACAATTTCGACACATTTCATCTGTCAGGTTAACCGCTGTGTGCCAACCGGATTTGCTGTTCTCGTACTGTCCCCCAGCTGGGTCCAGGCATTAGTGTCGATTTGCGAGTGATTAGCAATCATTTGCAAATTTCGACACATTTCACCCGTCAGGTCACCCACTGTATGTCACCATGATTTGAAGTTCTCGCACTGTTACCCGACTACGCCGACAAATGAGGAGGCTCCAGACACCTCGAAAAGGCTATACGCGGGATTATATTCGAAAATAATCAAACTGATAAAAATCACGAAATATTTTAACTACAAAAAACCAAGGCATTCCAGCCGTTCACCAGTGAAAGTACGCGGAGGAAGGTGGCGTGTCTACGAAAACGATCTCAAAACAAGACGCTGACGACCACTTCGAGCAGACCCAGCAAGATCGGCCGGATAGCTTTAGCTATTTGGTGGAAGGGGTTCAGGGAGTATGTCTCTTGCTCTTCCTGTTGCCGTTCGCTTCCTTCCCGCTCAGGGTGACGTCCGCGCCGAAAGTGTCCACCATTCGTGGAGGAAGTGGGCCCAGTTTGCGCGCCGTTTGTGTCCTCTGGTGAGATTGTTGAGAATATTTTCACAAGCTCATCGTAGGGAAGGGTGTCCTTCTCCGCGGCTTGTCTGACCGTAAAGTAACTGGAAACGTGCAATTTCTCGACACGCATCTAAAATAGTGCAGCAGAACAGCTACTAGATGATGCAAAGTAGGCTGTATATATTACTCAAAAATAACAAACAGCAGAGGTTGAGTTGGAGGCTACCTGGATAAGAACGAATACGGTGGGTCAGGTTCTATTAGTCAATTATGATAGTGCAAATCAACTTTACTGGAGGTAAAACGAAGCCAAAACGTAAAGTGCGTTTAAGGTGTCAATATGGGAAATCGATGAGCATACTACTGGAGAGAATTTAAAACAGTGCCCTAGAAAATACGAAAGACCGACTCCAATCATCGAAGCTGCTGTACTGTCTACTGAAAGGCTCGTGTTGGCTCACCATGTCTACTGCTCGACCATGACTACTGAAGTGGCCGAATTGTGAAAAATGGAATTCTCCTAGAGCTTCGATTTTTACAAAGAAATACGGCCGATATTTCCCATAAAAGGCGCCCACGATTACTTAACTCTTGCATTATCTTTCCAATTCGACAGCGACTGATTTTCACCAAGCACTCAATACGCTTGTCGCCTCTCGAGTATACCTTTGATAACGGAAATGTCTCACCTAGCCTTGCCTCCCCTGAAACTTTAACCATGCTACTTAAGTTTAAAAAGTAGGCAAATTATTCGCTTACGGTTAACGTGTAGTTCACGGGGCGAGCTTCAACGCCGTTCGACGGAGCAAATACGCAGATGAGCAGAGGTCGTACTAACTCTTTCGCCGATGGCACATGCACCTTCTCTTCGCTTAGAGAAGCGGACGAGTAAGCAAATGGCGGTGTTTCCGACCAGTAGACTGTATCCGATTGGTCAGCCTCAGTAGATCGTATCTGAGGGGGAGAAATGACCTCCCAGGGGAAAGACCGGTCCGTAGTCATAACTGCCACACCCTTCCGCTTTGGCTGAAGAGGGGAAATATGGCAAAATAAAGCTAACACCAAAGGTACATAAACTCTATACAGAATCGCCGCATCGGCTTCCTATGGCGGCAGATAAGTCCTAGAGTCTAAATGTTTAGGGACACCGACAAATCAGGAGGGCCCTCATCAACTCAATTCTCATTTTCCGGCAGGACTAACTCTGAGTCGGCAAATGAACACGCTGTTTAGTAGGGACTGAGAGTGCCCTAAATTCGTGTTGCTGACAAACATCAACACCACCTCCTACAGGCTTAGCTCGCTAATATTATAAAGGCGTAAGCGATTCACATTTACAGTAGGTGGGCTAACTCATTAAATGGCGGCCGAAATTTCGAAACGCGTTCTCGTTTCGAAAGGACTAATTAAGTGGGTTGTAAAACTAATCCTCATGCAGCATAATTCTACAATGATTCAGTTACCTCAAGATTCCGGCTTTCGAACGAACTTATTTTCCACTGCATGCAAGAACTATACTCTGCAAAAAATGACTACTTGAGTAGCATACAATTTTCCCATTGCCTTTCGATGCCCTCGAAGGGGTATGCTCGAAAGAGGAGTATAATTCGGTTTCAAAAAAGTTTCTAATTTTGAGATTTTTTAATACCGTGAAATGCCCGTTCATAAAACGTCATGTCTCTGCATTTACCAATGTGGCTTGTAAATTTAGCAATGTGGCTCAAATCCACTGCTTAATTTTATGAACCCCATATGGTCTCCTCTTAATACCGCAGAGAAATGTATGGTTTTCCGTACGCAGAAAATATACGACTTGTAGTTCTGAAACCCTGATTGCAAGTATAACAGCAGGTCGGGTTCAAAATTATTCGGGAATTAGAAAAGTTTTTTAAAATCGAATTATACTCTTTCTTCGAGGATAAAATTGGAAGAAGACGTGATTTCCTACCGATTAAATAAAAGAATGAATATTTTTATGCGTTGTTTTCATGAAATATAATTGAGCTTCTAAGGGCATCGTTCGAAAGCCGGAATCCTGAGGTAACTGGAGCATTATAGAATTATGTTGCATGATGATTAGTTTTACTAACCTACTTAATTAATTTTTTCGAAACGAAAACGCACTTCGAAATTTCGGCCGACATTTCATGAGTTAGCCCACTTACTGTACTCCAGGTCTACGTTTTTCTAAGTCCTACTGCCCTATAACAAGGAATGCTCGAATTCTTTAGGTATTTGTGAAGCTAACGACCCAGAGACTAGAGGGACTGGGGTCAGTGGTAACGTTGGGACACGGGAATGCGTATGTACTCCCAAGAATTTAGCCCACGGGCACCTCTAGTAGGGGGACACATGCACTGTCTCAACTTTTTACAGCGTTTTAATTCTAGGCGCCTTGTCTTTCAATGCCGACAGAAAAGTGGGCCCGCCCTTCGAGTCAGGGACAGGAGGATATTGAACACGTACACTGTTTACGGACGGGCCCTGGTCGTGCAAGTGATCAGGTCACTCAATGGAGGTTGGGGGCACGTGTCAGGCTGTAAGGTCTTCTAGGCGTGTGAGTGTCGCTTTTCGTTAGGTAGCATCGAAGAGGCAAAACGTAATTGCCACCTTGCTACCATTGCAGCAACAGACTTATTGATCAGATGACCCAGACTAGCTGAGACTAGCTTGTCAGCCACGAACACAGAAGACGTCAGTCAGGTGGAAAAGCGCATGATCATCGCAGCAGAAGTTGGCGCGGCTGGCGCTAGTTAGAGCACTAACCGTGGTCTCCAGGAAGCTGCGCAGCTTCTGCGACTTGCTCTTAAAGTAGTCAAAGTCCTCACGCAAGACGACGTATAGATCAACATCTTCATTGCTGGAGCTGAGCCGGAGTTCTACGTCGGATGGCTCGAAGAGGAGGAAGAAACCAGCCTCACCAGTTTTCAGGTGTCTAAAGTGGCGGACAAAAAGTAAAAAAACTGAAGTCAGTTGGGAGTTTCTTTTGGCAGGACGAGCATTAGCTAAGCACAAGCAAGAAAGCCTGAAACCGTCTTGTATCAATCTACTCTCCAGACTCTGCCGTCTCTACCCCCTTCTCCCGCTGCTATCATGGCTTGGCCGACTTCGGGATGGCAGGTGGTTGCCTGTTCGTGACCATGGTTGCCCATCGGAGGCGTTTTTGTTTCGGAAAGCCAAAAGATTTGTGGCCAATTCCTGATTTAATAAATACCCGATCTGCAGCGACAGAGAACGACAGATGGCGAGGCACTGATGAACTTCGGTTCGATTAAGTACTTATGACTCATCCAGGAATTCCTGGAGGCAATGCACTCAGACGAGGCATGCATTAACCGGCATATCCATCTAGATGCCACATACAAAATCGTTAAGGGTAGATCCAAACTGGCTCAACCAATCCCGAGAAGATGACTTCACCAAATCATAGAATCCTTTGTCAGACTCGGTATAGAAGTTAATTGTTTTTGCACGCCCGCTGTCTGAAGACGAGCTGGGGAACCAGTCTCGAAAATTTACACAATAAAGTTTACTGTTTCCCAAAGAATTCCATCTTCCTAAATATATGTATATATATATATGAAAAAGAAGAAGAAGATAGAAGGCTCGTCGGAAAAAATCGAGTTGTACTCGTGAATGTATATATATGCATATATAAGATGGAATACCGACAGGTTACGGAACGCGCTCGGCCAGTTGTGCCTCGGGGCCCCACCTAGAACCCGCATGGGCCAACGCGGTCACACACGCCTCCATGTGAACTTGCCGTAATCCACCACAGGACTAAACCACACCACCAAGCATTCGCACTAACACATGCATCACACACGAACACCTCCAATATCCAACACGCTGGCACCTCTCACGTACCATGTCGTCTACTTCTACCACTACTAGTCTCTGTGCGATTGCCTGCGAGGGTTCTAATATAAGCCCCAAGGCACAACGGAATAAGCACGCTCCGTAACCTGTTGGGTGAGCGCCCATCCGTCATAATTTATATTATCGATCACAACCGACAGGACAACGGGCCCGTGGCTCAATGGTAGAGTATCAAACTCCGTGACCAAAGATCCCGGATTCGAATCTCAAGTGATCCACACTTGGGGTTGGGTATGACTGGCTGACGACGGCTAATAAGCCATAAGTGGCCATTCCGGTCTCCCCTGTCTTTGTCGGTACCATGTCACATGTATATGTATATATATTTCGTAAGATTCTGCAGAGGATTTGGACTACGCTGTCTTTTTCTTGAGGAGCACTAATAGACGAACGGATGCGATGTTACTAAATAGGCATTGCACGATCTTAAAAAATCCCTCCCCCCATTAGAGACGTTTTTAAAACCGAAAGACTACCCTTTCTTTGAATATAAAGTTTGGGAAAGACGTGATTTGCTACCAAATAAGCATATTTGAATTTATAATGGCATCAAAAGTCAGTAGAAAAACGCATACTACCGTCTTTTCCGAGCACAGTTTTCGTAGGCGGATGGAAGGACGCACACTCAAAAGCCCACATCCTGGCGTCTTTGGAATATCATGGGATCATGTCGCACGATAATCAGTATTACAAGCCCACTTAAGCAATCCTCCCAAAACGAACATGCACTTCGGAATTTTTAACTAACATTTCGTGAGATCGGTCACTGGCAGGAAGTCTGTTAACTTTAGATTCGCCATCGGGCCCCCGCATTGCATTTCTGCACGATGATGTGCTTTCTGAAGTAAGCCACCCCGTCACGGCAGTACGGTAGCGGGCGATCAAAATGACTACTCAGTTCGTACTTTGTGCAGTTGGCGCTGGCCAACGTATTTGCGTGCACCGTCCCTATCAGTGGTCAAGTTGACGTTGAGCAGAGTGGTCAAAGCTCCAACGTAGAGTAGAACGAGGGGAGGGGGCGTCGGGGAACACAAAACCACAGAGTGATTAGATATGGTTATGTGGCCCCACCTGATGGAGTTAGGGGTTGGGGCAGCTATTCCTCAACCACTCAAAGTACAACCACGCATTCCCAATAGCTGTTCCTTTGCATACAACTACCTGACATCGTCACCTGTGCGCTCCCTGGTCCCACCTGTAAAGACCCGCATTACCACCGATGCCGTATTACAGGTGGCTGGGGTTTTTTTCCTTCAGGTTGAGGCTACATAACCACATCTGACCCACAGAGCTTGTTGGCAGCCCTTACGTCGAGGCCGGCATAGAGCTCCGCCTCGCCTCAGTTACGATGACAGTGGTCGCCCGAGAGAACATTTAGCTTTCTGCGGAGTGGGATGATTATTTCTGATTTATTTAGTCGTGAGCCAGTCCGGGGTAAGACGCCGACTGTTAGTAAGCCAGAAACATACACCCCGGGGTTGGGTATGGCTGGCTAACGACGGCTAATAAATCGGAAATGGCCACTCCAGTCTCCCCTGCCTTTGTCGGTAATGCTATTCCACATACATTCTGGCCCTAGCTGTCTTCGTAATGCGGCCGCCTGCGAGGTCTGCGTTATGAACTTTCCGCACGTCTCACTAACTGCCGGTCCAACAGCTCACCTTTGATCGAATCCCCCAATCAGAATTCAACGTCGAGGGTGGAAAAAAGTGTGTACTAACGTATTCTAGCAGCGCATATAAGCGAAAGGTCGGGGTGAACTACACCAATCATACAGTGTCCTTGAGTGGCCGGAGGGGGGGGGTGGACTGGACTTCTGGTTCTGAGCCGGTGACATCAGCAGGCGTCACGGCCTGTGAGCGGATCGTCAGACCGGTGCTCCAACAGGCCATATACCGGAACTCTACTGCAAAACTCGAAGTCCGCACTACGTCCAGACTGGTGAGAGCAACCCTTGTAGAATTGAGAATTCGCTCTCACAGCCGACAGTGTGGGCACGCAGCCCGTCCGGCAGTGCGTTGAACATTTCGACCAACTGGGACCGGGTTCAGACGTCCAGTCGCCCGGCCTGGGACAGATGGCAATCAAACAGGGAACGGTCGCCCCCGTCGTAAGTGCCCATTCGTCAAATCTTGGATGAATAGTTGTCACACGCTAACGCAGTCGGTACCAGCTGGGGGGTTGTTACGCACTATAGGCGAGGAAGCAAGGACCTGTCTTGCCTTTTGTAAAAGTTACTACTGCAGTAAGTAGATACTCCACTGGCACAAACTGACATCCAATTGACGGAGTTTTAATCTGAAAAGGTGCTCGGATGCGTACTGACGAGCAAGTCCACTATCGCAATAAAATAATTTAGTCGCAAGTCACCGTTCCTGCTCCCACTCTACTGTGGAGCACATTGTGGACATCGTCGAAACTGGCGGTCGGATTTTCATATCTGGTTTGGGGTCAGCACCATTCAACCTCGCTCTTAATGCTCTGGTAGAAGTAGCCTAACTCAGGTGATGACGAGAGATAACAGCCGGTAAGTCGGAGCAGTCTATTCGAGACTCCTTCAACAGTTGCCGAACGCTAAATAACAGTCTACATGGAGGAAATAAAAGATCGCCAACAACTGCTGCTGGCCGAGCAAACGGATTTGACGCATGCCGATTAGTAGAAATCGGGACTCGATCTCAACTGCTTCCTGGAACTCGCCTTTCCGTTTAATTTGGCAGTCGGGTTTCCCGTTTTTTTTTAACTGCGTCGCCAGCTGATCTTCAGATTTGATTTTTAAGCCACATTCGGCTTAAGCGACAGAAAGTCCTCGTAGACCTGAGGCATGAAGCATAGGATAGTTGTTTACGAAAAAAATGTGTCTCAGAGAATTCGATAAGGGGCCACTTGTCACAGACAAGGAACTACTCCCGCCCCCCGCCTTTAGTTAGGCGTGGCACAAAGAAAACGCCAGTGGGAAGATTTATACAAATACGCCTGACAAGTTTCGCAATGGTGAAATGTTGAGAATAGGAGGGAGGGGGGGAGGGGGGCTCGCTCACCCGTTATGCACAAGAGACGGCGAGTTGGAGAGTTGCACCGTTTCGCTGCTGAAGGATGGGTGCGCAGTTTCCCTACTGTTAGAAGAGAAGGCTCGTTCCTCAAGAAGGAGCAGAAAGCCGATGGCGCAAAAGTAGACGAGCACCTTCCAGAAGAGTTCAACCGCAGGCGCCTGCGGGACGGCACCTGCAGCACGGGTAGGGGGCTGCCGCGGTGCTGGAGTAGCTACGTTTGGTGGTGGAGGCTCATTCGATCCGAGACTATTTTCCCGTCGCTGTCTAGTGCCTGCGTCCTCTCCACCTTCCATTTATCAGTCCAAACTGTTAGGCGCAAGGGCCTGCAGTCAGCGGTAGGAAAAAAGGAGAACGTGGATTTTAGGTATGTTTAAAGGTAAATCGTCTACCTACTTACTCATACAGAGTAGCGCGTTATGTACAGCTGAAGTGCTAGTCGCCTTGCACTGTAGCTGCCCCCTCGCGCGGTTATCAGCACCAAAGCTTACCCACGTCGTATTCGGTCGACCTAGTACGCCTCCCAAGCACTGACTGCGCGCATGCAACACCGTGACGCTCATCCATATTTAGCTCTTCACCGATTGGCCGCAGCCAGACAAAGGTCAGGCGCACGCACGCCGACTGTCACGGGCCTGGTGAGTACAGTTGCTGCCATTGCCTGCTGAACCCCATGTACTCCCCTCCTGCGGCAGTAAAGTTTGCCCAATAACTCAGTCTTCCCAGCCCCGTGATTTGGGAGCCTTCACGTTGTTGACCATCGTACTTCGGCAGTGCTTTCCATAGTGGTAATCGGTGTCCGACCATTACTCGGGCTGTAGGACAGTCAAGGGCGGCAAGCTCTACTACTAAGTTTCAATGTCTGCGACGGCTGCTGATTCCACCGTCAGGGCACTCAGCACAAGTTAGCCAGTAAGATGTAATTCTAGAGATTGAAATCCCGTCGGTGAAGACAACTCACGAAATAACCCCACACAGCGATGCACGCGCACTCCTCCCAATACCTGGAGTGGGAGGTTATGATAGGCAACAGTCAGTAAGAAACAAAGTTTGATCAAGGATCAGTTGTTCCACTGTCACATAACAAGATATCCATGGACTGTGGAGAATAAATACGCCAGTACGCGGGACGAAATCCCCATTTACAATGGATACACTCCCTAGATTCAACATGAGTCGTTGCCATTCGACACCAGGCTGCATGCTAGGAAGTTTAGAGGGGAAATACAGTGTTACGGAGAACGCCCGTAGGCGAGACCGAGCTAAATCCGTGCAGGAAAACAGACAATGCACGCTACCTGATTGAGAAGCACCACCGTCCAACCAACAGTCACCACTGATTCATTGACACCAAGGGTATACTTAGGCGGCCAATCAGGAGTTGGACGACTATTCTGTAAGCCTGGATGCGCCTCACATGCGTGCATCCGGCCAATACGCGCGCACCGAAGCATGCACAAGAAAAGCAATAAAGGAGGCCCACAGACGAGCCAAGGGTTGACTCGTGTTTACACTGAACAAATACTTGACGCGGCGACTAAGTTCCCACAACACTATGTTTGGGGGCTCAACGGCAATCTCTCAGCGGTCACCATCTGAACTGGATATGTGACGTTGACACGTACGAAGGGGACCAGAATATCCCTACACCGTACAACAGTTGCGCTAGACCATTGGACGGAAGCACTCCCCCTGGGGGGGGGCTGTTTAGCATTACGAACAACAGCCGATGGAACTCGTGGCCCAACCAACTTGATAAGCAAGCGAATGCGAGCTGGAATATACGGTTGTTATCGCCCAGGTTGGTTTGGGAACGGTTGAAGACAGTGAATACCGTAGAAACAGCCAGTTCGGTCGCCCTTGCCTCTGTCGATAATACCTACCAACTAGGAATCAATCGTTGCCATGTAAACATCCGTCTGGACCCCAGCCGGGAGTTGCCAGGCAAATCGGAACCGCCAGCCGTATCTCACACTTCCAATGTGACTTTGGACGTCTGGACTCCAAGGCAACAGGGACTGGCAACAGTTGGGTAATGGGAACAGGGCTGGTCAGAGGCACGCCCTTCAGGGGTTCAGTTTTTTCGCTCGAGTTCAACAACCATATTCAGTCACAAACAGGAGGCATGCAGACGGTTCAGGGGAGCGAATGAAAACGCGTCTGCAGACAAATGCCCAAATATGCATTTATTTACGAAGAAACTGCTGGAAATTTTGAGAATGGGACAAATTACAAGGCCTTGGATTCATAGATACATGTACAGGAAAGACAAATGGGATTGGCGCAAACGACGCGCGAGGAGCGTGGATGTCAGAGCAGCCAATAAGTAGACGTGGTGGAGGGGGGGAATGGCAGAAGTATACAGCAACGCCAAGCGGGTCTTATCGAGCAAACTTTAACAGAAGCCAACAGAGGAAGAAGAAAAAGAAGACAAAAAGAAACAGCTGACAGTATAGTCCGAATCCACTGCCCTCAGTGCGTCTAATGATACCCACACGACGCAGGGCCGCCTTCAACATGCCCTCAGAGCGCTCAAAGGCTTCACTCATGCCGGAGAGAAAGGCATTGTGTTCCCGCACCTCATCCCCAATACTGATGGAGAGAGCGCGAAGGTTGCTCACCTTGGCCCTTAACTCATCCGCCAGTTTGTCGTTAGTGTCCAGTAGGCTGGTGTCCGGCGGCATGCGGACAGTGGCTCCAGATCGATGTGAAGCACCAACGTCATTGACACCATTGTTATATGCATGGAAGACAGCAGGTTTTTGTTGGCCTGGCGGCTCGTGGGGGATCCATGGAGTTGATGCTCTGCCCGAGGAAGGTCGCATCTTACCTGTTGTAACAGTCAAGAGGTAAGTTAGAAAGTGAACTAGAGGGGCGTAAGATCGCATCTGGCGACTTGCCCCCGCTATCAGAGAATATGAAAGAGCAAGCAAAGTTTAAAAAGCTAGCGTTTGTTGGGTTTGGTGTGTTTGCAAACGAATGCGTCCAACTTGGGCCTGAGCTGTCGTCAGGGGATTCCTATGGGTGGGGCAGTGAACGTGGGTCCTGATATCAAGTGGCATGCTCAGTCTCTAGGAAGTATAAAACCAGATCCAACTTTCATTTGAAAGACTAGTGCCTGCCTAAATGATGACATGCCTGTAGGCTCACGCAGACAAACACCATTGAAAGGATGTCTTGAAAACTTAAAAAATATTTTTATATCAACTAGGCTACCTGGAAAAACGTCAGCTAAAAGTGTCAGGCATGATACACTGTAGCAAAAAATAGGATCCAACCATTCGACGCCAATTGAATACGGGAGGAACGTCAGGAACATAAGACTAGAGTTTCAATCGACAACGCTCTCAGCATCCCCACCTAGTCCCTCATATTCATACTGCTAACGCACATTCGACAACTGCAGTGGCATTACCGGACATCCTGACATCTGACACCACAATGTCAACACAACGTTGAGGAACATCGTCAGTGTTTGCATCCCATTTTCCACGTAATCGCAGTTTAGCCCTCCGGCAAGCTGCCAACGCAATCGAATAAAGAAGTCCTTATTTTGACTACGATGGCGAACTGCCCAGCATCACTGCTAACACAAGATGCCGGGTGTAAACATGAAAAATGAGAATCCGGCTACAAGTATAGAGACCCTTACATTCTGGGTTGGTGAGAGTAAGTCGTGTCCCGCAAAAAAGCCGTCAAATAGGTTTAATGGAGATAAAAAGTGCAGTGAAACACCCCTTACAGACTTTGAGGGACCTATTGGTAAAAAAAGTGTGGTAATTCATTCGCAAGCAGAGCTATTATGAGGCGGCATTGTCAGCAGTAGGAACATTACAGCAAAATTTGTCCGTGGTTAGTCCTTCGGACTTGTCAGAAACAAAATCTAGTGTACAGCCTGCGCTCACCGGTTATAGGCTGGGCTCTCAGTAACCGTTGTTTTTACCATTTTCACTTGTAAATTAAAAAGTCTCCTTTGGTGCAGGCGGATTCTACAAAGTCCCATTAAGTGGCTCTCCATACGTGAAGATTTTTGACTCTATCCACGCTCTTCTCCGGAGAGGAGACCGAGTACTGACCGACAAGGTCTCAACCACGTCGTTTCTCCGCTACTTTCGGTGGGTGGATGAGTGACATTGTATTATTATGGCAAAAGCTCTGATCCCATGGGATGTACAACTGACGATGGGCCTAAACCACCCCGGCCGTATGCACTGGGCGGCATAAAATACATTCGGGGTGCTACTGCAACCAGCCAAAATTGACACATCCAAGGCGACTTCTCTTTACTCCAAGGATCGTTCTCACAGAATGACGGACTTCCACAAACAGATCAGCATTAACAATCGTGCAGTCCGACAGCAACCGGACCTGGGGCTGCCGGCAGCTGTTAATTGCGAATATCTGCTGTGGTAGATTGGTACAGATAGCAATGATGGCAGAAATTAAACGGTAGTAGGATACTTTCATAACAACATTTTCGGCCAGTACGTCTGGCTGCATTTTGTGCAAAATTGATTGAAGATTAACGGGATCAGACGTCACAGCGATGTTAGCAAAGCAGACAGCTTTCGTCTGTGAGTGGCCGTGGCAGAATTCGAGGATGCAAGGCACTGTGAATGGCGCCAGTCCAGTGAAATTTGGCTACGAGCTCGGCTTGAATAGGTCCCACCTTTGTACTACCCACGCTCTTGAGCCATCTGGAAATGATAGTAACGTTAAAGACGCTTGTTCCAAGGATCACCTGACTCGGCAGCCGTCAGGAACTATAATAACATCACAGATATGATGTATATCGACAATCTCTTGTAGCTATGATGAGGTATTTTATCGAGCCAGACAACGACATAGGTGCTAGTCAGGCGTCGTTGTCGAAAGTACGTCTGTCACTCACTCAGCATTGGCTAGCGCAGTGTTTGGACTGCCATTTTCGACAGGGCACCAATCGTGTGGCATACATCCGTGTGGTAGTGGATGAAGTAATTCACTTATGAAAATCTTTATTTGCTGGGATTTATCGTCGGGATCTGGGCAGCTGACAGATATTCTCATTAGAGTGATAGAGTGCACACAAGTGGATTATGGAAAACCCGGCCAAGGAACTGGAATGGAGGTACTACCAGGAGCCTGCCATTTGCCCACTCCATTATCGACCATCAAAAATCCGATGCATAATGTGCAATCCCGTTTGCTTCGTAGTTGTCTGTGGGTAGACATGGACTTTAAGTGTCCCCCATTCGATGGACAACCTATAAAAATAACTAGGAAACGCAACTGGCCGTTCATTCGAAAAAAGACCTACAAAAGACAGACATGTGGTAGCCGCATTACCCTTCAGGAAATTATGCGTGGCACACGCAGACGCGCTGTTGCAGCCCTGTCAATCACTGTGCCTAATCCCAGCACCAGATGGTTGACAAACTCCGACAGTGTATGGAAGAAAAAGGAGAGGGACTCCATCTCCCAATATAACGAAACTGGAGCGCCTGAATCTATAACGCGCTAGAAGTCGTAGCTTAGAAGATGACTTGCTTGACTTGATACGGCTGCGATCATACCTGATCTAGTCGGCCTCGATGATATCCCGAACTGTACCTCTCCACGCGTGACGATCCGCGGCAGCAGATCTGGACAGCTCAATCCACTCTCTTCGCCAACGACGTAAACCGAATACCGAAGGTCCAAGAACCACCTCCATGTCTTGACGAACTGTGTCAAGTCAGGTTTTGAACTGACCCCATCTTCGACGCCTCCAATAGGGTAACGGCGACAGATCGAGAGCAGTAACACTGAGCTCCTGAAGTGGACGACGAAGAATATGCCAGAACCACTTCAGTCGTCTTTCTTGGATGGCCTGAGTTATCCTTGCGATGTTGTCGCAGCGAGCGCGGACTGTCTAATTTGAGACGAAATCGGTGAACCTCACTCGAAGGATGGTCCTCAAGCAGTGATGGTCAAATACCTCCAGTTTTCGCTCGTCCTCCACGCGCAAAGCCAGCATTCACAACCGTAGAGAAGGACAGACCGGACAGATGCACGGTACACGCGAATCTTAGTGGCGATGGCGAGGTCACGTCGGTTCCATAGGCATTTCCGAAGGCTTGAGAAAACCCAGCGGGCAGCATCGATTCGGGAGTGAATGTCCTCCTTGGAAGATTGCCAACTGATGATATAACCCAGGCGTCGCAGCCAGCTCTGATGTGACTGATTGGTGGGCTACGAGTCAGGATCAGTCACACCTTAATGTGACTTCAATGGCAGTTTCGCACACGTGCGATCCGAGCCACCCACCCTATTTTCTGCGAAAATCTGGTGCATTCTTCGGGGGCAGGTCGTTCGTGGCACGCGCAGGCGAGTTATTGGAGTTTGCCAGCAATTTTCGGCCAATCCCAGCATTAGGTGGCTGGCCGGCTCCAACAGCGGACTGGTGCATAAGAAAGGAAACACGAAGTGAGATCGACTATAGAGACTGTCCCCATGGTACTCCAGCGCATTCCTCACAATAAACATACTGACGCACGTTAAAACTATCAAGACGCGCTAAAAGTCGTGGCTTGGGATGCTGCAAATTAACGGGATAAGTTGGTCCTTCAGGTGAGGTTGCGACATCTCTCTCGTAATTCGGTCTCTAGTACAATCCCACTCAGATGGGACCCGAGCCGACGACCTCTTGCTTTTGTGTAAACCTGGTTCATCGTGCGGGGACCAGGTCGCGTGAGGTGCGCGTAGACGGGCCGTTTGGCCTTGTCGGTCACCAAACCGGAGCACGTTTTCAGTCGTCTTGACTGTCTTGTAACCATGCAGAGGTTGATGACAGGGTGCTGTAACTGCTACGTATGTCCACTTTGGCATAAGCATACTCACGTGCCAGTCACCGTCCTGCGCCAAGTTTCTTTGTGCGGCACATGGTGGACATCTTGGATCGCGAGGATCAAACTGACACTCTTAAGGAAAGCAATTTTTGGGTTTACTCATTTTGACAACTCAGATTTACGTTCAAGGGTAAACCGTTTATAGACAGTGCGGACACGGTGACTGTCACTACAGGAAGTACAAAAACAGTGATAAACACCACCCTTTATTCTTGGGTTAATTTCAGTGTTCATGTCCCCTGAAGATAGGATTATTTTCCTATCCGATTCTTGTATATCCGCGTTTAATTTGCGCTAAGAAGCAATAACAGCTGGTTCCTAAACATACCGTAAATGGCCATTCTCGTGCCAGAAAAGCACGTCATGGTCAGCTTCGGAAGACTTCGAAATCTTCTAGTCTCGTTACTCTGTGTATCTTTCGAACAGTGAAGTTGGCAGGCCTGTGCAGTGTTACAGTAACTGTATTTGCAACATAAAAAAACCAGAAAGTATAATTTCATGATGTTAACTCCCCCATGTAATTTACAGTGACGACTCCATTAATATCCTAGCAAATTACGCCATATATCCGACAAAGTCAAGAAATCAAAGGCAACAATGCCGTCGCAGTCGTTAAAATTGGATGCTCAAGGAACACTCCGCACCAAAATAACTAACACGAATCTAACGGAAAAGGCCAAAACCGTTAGTGCAAGATAACAGACGCAAAACAGGGCGAAAGGTCTCAAAAATCCTAACTCTGCCTAAGTACCAAAAGTCAAAGCCATTTAGGTGAAGATGTTGGGACGCAGACTTTGGATACATAATGAAGGAAATGGCGGTTGCTCAGCATAAAAATATAGCAAACGTTGGCTTCTTTTTGAATTATTCCTTGATGCTTTTATTTTTCAGGTCTTGATAACGCCACGAAAACTCTTATACTGAACCCGCACACCGGCTCGAAAACGAAACAGTTTTTCGAGGTGCTCTTGAATATTGCGCGTGCGATTGCGTCGGTAAAGTAAAGTGTACCGTATGTTGTTCTTTATATAAACTATCTTATGCGTTTTTTCAAGGTCTGCATGCCGTTTCGTTTTTTGTAGCGTGGGTAGTCGGGGCCTACTCAACTTCTCTCCCAGACTTTGATTCAAAATTGAACGAGCAGGTTTATTTGCCGGATTCCTAGTTTTCTAAAAAGTCCAAGTTCCGTACGATCGTCTGTCTAAGCAGCTGGGAGTATACTATCTAAACGGTTTGCTCAGTGTAATCGATTGGAGACGCAGAAAAGTGTCCTTTGAAAATGTAACAGTACATAGACATTATTCTCATGGTAGCAGGCTGACGGGGACAATAGTTATAACATGGGTAAATAATTTCATTCTCAGAATAGCTGCCAGTGGTTGTATGACGCTGTGTGCATATGCATGCCTTATTAGACGCAGCCTCCGATATACAGGAGAGTATAGGATACTTTTTTCGTGATACTACTCACTATTTCTTGCACACGGCCTACCAACGGCATCACAAATATACGGATCTCAAATACGATTGTAGTCATATCCGATTTGTGACATCGAAAATTTGATTCGTCGATTTCAAAGGACATATGAGAGAAACGTCACACGACAATCACCTGATGGAGCGACAAGTGATCCGCCAGAAAATGAGCCCGAAAGAACAAGAATGGGCTTCAAGTGACCAGGCGGTTACTCAGGGCGAATAGCCTAGTTAGTATATTTCATTACCAGCCCTATAAAATAGTCACCGATCATTTCAGGTTGTTTTGGTCAGACTGCCCATTTAAGCCACTCGAGCGTTTTCAGTGCCTAAGGTTCCTTGAATAGATTGGAATACGCTCCTGTTTGCCTAGTCCTGCTTACACTGGTGCCGTTTTACTATATTTTTCGTTGGCATAGTGTCTACAACTGAATGTACCACTGCTCAATGCCCTATACACGAAAATTGTTGTGGAAAAGTCGGCAAGCAAAGAGGCATATTACTGCGGGTGAAAGCGAGCAACACAAAAAGTACCCGTGAACTGTGCCAAAGAAAACAATGAAGAATATGCGGCAGGACACAAATTTGATAAATACGACATAATACAGTACAAGCGCCCATCATATTTATGGTATGTTAGTGGCATTGTCACGTACATGAATGGACTCCGTGACGAACTATCACTGATATTCAGTTCTAATAATTTAGATGAGTGAGCTTCATTGATTCGGCCGGCAGTTTTAGCCCATAATCACCTCGTTTCTTAAATAATGAGTCTCCGAAGGCACCAAATTTTCTTGCTTGTAAGTAAGTTCCCAGGTTGAGGACTTAAAACGTTAATGACGTCTTTTGTCTAAGGCGTTTATAAATATGCCTCGGAAAGCGTTTACCTGAGTTTGCAGCGAGGACCAGTATATAAAATAAAGGTCGTGTATCATATGGTGATGTAGGAGCATCCAGTTTTTGCTCCACATGAAAGTCATAGTAAGTAGGCTTACTTGCTCGCAGATGTTGGCTATGCCCAACGGTCGTTAACTGACACCAAATGCTATTCTGTGGCCAGTGCTTCGTTCAATTTGTATCGGGTTTGTCAATATTATATTGCTGCTGCAAGCATGATGACTTGCTGGTTCAGGAGCAACATCGTATCCCTTTGTATCACTCGTCTGCTGAAACTAGCCAATTTGCTTTCTACAGTTGCAAGTCCCCTTTTGTGCTCCGTGACGACTTCACGGCGTTTCAGACGTCCCGCTGGAGAATTGTCCGGCTGAAAAATCTTTCTCGTGAGGTTTTCGGAGGATGATTTTCCTGGGCAAAACTAAGCTAGCCCCTTCTTCGTTGCCCCAAAATAATTGTAAGAGATCATGGCCGCACAGTTCCCGACTGTTCGCTCACATTCTTTCCGATCCTGAAGGTTGCGCGAATGGTTACCTTTTCATTTGAATTAAGCATTTTGTTCAGTAGGTGCTGAAACCTATCAAGGTCAGCGGAAATCCTCTCTTTCGGGGCAGGAGCATTCGACTCCGATAGGCCATGGACGACTACGCAATGCTGGCGATCAAGGGGTTCATTTATTCTGTTTCTGTCTGCCTTGTCAGTTGAAGGTCTCAGTAGACCCACCGCAGTCGTCTTGAGTTTTATACTCCAGTTATATAGATAGATAGATAGATAATTTTTATTAAAGACCCGTCGGGGTCCCATCAAAGCAAGTTAAAATAAATTTGCATGCGAGTTTTACACGAGGTAGGCCGAATATTTACAAAATGCAATTCCTAGTTTATAAATTAGAAGTCCATTGAGAAACATGATGATTGAGGGGTGAAAAAAAACTCCTTACAAAAAGTTAAAAATGATTGGATTGATTTTACAGGAGAAAAAAAAACCCCTCCATAAAAATAATAACAGAAAAAAGCGAGAAGGACTGGCCTGTAGGTGGCGGTTAGTCGTTCAAAAATTAAAAATGTCCAAAGACGTTTTTCTAAAATCTTTTAGATAGGGAACATCCCAATATCTCCTTCTCAGACAGATGTCAGCTAAGTAACTTGAAATTTTTATGGGTTCAAAGACTAGAAGCAGGCTTCTGTCTCCTCTTTCGCATCAATAATAGTTCAAATCTTTCTCGAATTTCAGCACTTACTCCTAGTAGTCGCCTGCACAATCTTCGCAACTCTTCCTTGATTATACTTCCTCCACGTCTAAGCGTTCGCTGTTTTTCGCTTCCAGATATACTTTCCTCTTTAATAAACTTCCAATAAATATAAGATCTTCAGATACTCTACACACATTTAAGAGAAGATTACGCGTTTATATGAATACTGACTCTAGTAAACTTTTATTTTCCTCATCCTTCCGGGACAACTATCTCTATGACACTGAGAAAGGGCAACCGGAAATTTAGGACGCCGCCATTAACTTTCCGTATCTGTTCACATTTCCTACCTTTGTGAGTCGTATCGCCTCGCAAGATACCTCACCAAAAATGTTAATTATTCCAATTTTTCAGTTCATGCATCGTGCCCTCACAGAATGCGCTCCATCGACGCTCATGGCGAAGCCATCTGTATTCGCCATATAGATAGATAATTTTTATTAAAGACCCGTCGGGGTCCCATCAAAGCAAGTTAAAATAAATTTGCATGCGAGTTTTAGACGAGGTATGCCGAATCTTTAAAAAATGCAATTCATAGTTTTTGAATTAGAAGTTCATTGAGAAACATGATGATTGAGGGGTGAAAAAAAAACTCCTTACAAAAAGTTAAAAATGATTGGATTGATTTTACAGGAGAAAAAAACCCCCTCCGTAACAATAATAACAGAAAAAAGCGAGCAGGACTGGCCTGTAGGTGGCGGTATATAACGGAATGTTGTCGGTCATCGTCAGGGGAGCAATAAATGTCCGCCTTGATGGGTACGAATGTGGGTCAGACAGGACTGGCTTGCAAATGGTATTGTATACGGGATTCACAATTGAGATCGTCTGGGCCTGATTGGTACGCCGCGTCAAAGAGGCCAGACGAGAGGAACCGAGATGCGATCGGCCACAGCACGCTTTGAGCTCAGCCGAGCAGTGAGGAAGGGAGGTACGACCGAACTACTAGTAGACAGTGAATACTGAGGGTTCCGCCGTGAGCGTCGACAGACCGCATGAGGTCGGAATGCGGGAGATGACATCAAAAACCGCGAAAATCGTCGCTATGGGGGAGGAGTGATAGCAGTGGATTTAGAAACCAATTCAAAACAGGGGTTTCTAATGATATAATTAAGAGTTAGCACTTAATCTACCACTAAATCCCAGGAGGACCCTTCTCGAAGTCAAGAATCTGAGTGTTCGGGAATGATACCGTTAACAGTGCCTTTATGCTTTCCGGTGTAAGGTGGTTGCGTAATTTCGACTTGAATACCAGTAACCTAGGCGATAATCTAATTTCAGGCGGAAGATTATTCCAAAGGAAGGCATATTTGGAAGCAAAGAAGAGGGAGCGCTTAGATGTAGTACAAAGAGGCGGCGGAATCATCATGCAGGAGTTGCGCGTGATATAAGACCGATCTCTCAGAGTGAGAGTGTCAATGTGCGGAAGACTGGAGCTAGAGTTGATGCGAAAGAGGAAGCAAAGGCCAGCTTCGAGTCTTCTAACTCACAAAACTTAATGTTCGCCAGCTGACATCTCTGAGTATAAGAAATACTGGACGAAGCTTGAGAGAACAGTTTCCAGGTGAAAACCCTCTGAACATTTTCGATTTTATTACGGTCGCAGGCGTTCATTAAACCGAAGAAAGGACAGCAATATTCGAGGACTGGAAGAACAAACATTTGATAAAGTCTTAGCTTCATTTCCGGAAGGAAAAAATTATGCGATATGAATCCACATATCTGCGCGGCTTTGGCAGAGATTCTATCTGCATGAGGTGATAAAGCAAGTTTATTTGTATAACTTAGACCTAGGTCCTTGATGGTGAGGCATTTTGAGAGTGGGTTATTCTGAAAAATTATGGGACCATGAAGTTTGGTAGGACCAAAAGACATGAAACTACACTTGGATGATGAAAACTCCATCTGCCATGTCGAACCCCATCTGCTTAAGCGTAGTAGATCGGCATTAATTTTTTCAACACAAACATTTGTGGTGTCCTTAGAGTATGAGTAAACACACTTGAGGTCATCGGCATAAGTAAAAGTTTGCGAATTTCCGAGTTCAGTCGAAATATCATTGATGTACAGAAGGAAGATTAGCGGACCCAGAACCGTGCCTTGAAGTACGCCACTCGTGATCGAGTGGGGTGTCGAGTAGCTATTTCCGACCATGACTTTCTGATATCGGTTGGACAGATAGGACCTGATTAAGTCGAGTAGAGGCGGCCGGATGCCGAGAGTTTCCAATTTTACTAAAAGACGTCTATGGGGCACTTTGTCAAAGGCTTTGCTAAGATCAAAGTAAATAACTACCACTGACTGCCGCTCATTACGAAGAGAAGTGATAAGATTAAGAAAAGTCAAGTGGCATGTTTCGCAGGATCGTTCAGGTAAAAATCCAGGCTGACTAGAGCTCAGAAGTCGATTAGCTAGACAGAAGTCAAGAAGTTCATTGAAAATAATCCTTTCAAGAAGTTTTGCTAGAGACGGCGTTTTGTGCACGCCCCGATAGTTATTAACATCGGACCGAGATCCTGACTTGAAAACGGGAATGATAATTGACGTTTTCCATGTTTCAGGAAACAATCCTTTTGAAATATAAACCGAGAATAAATGACTGAGCAATATGGGAAGGTCGGAGGCTTGTTTAGTAATCGAATTCGGAATCTCGTCCGTTCCTGAGCAGTGTGAGTATTTCAAACGGCTTATGTGTTTCTTAATGAGATCTGAGGAGACATCAATTGTACTCAGTGTCCTATCTGAAAGTGATCGAAAGAAAGGGACCGGATCGGACTCGGTAGCAAGGTGTTTTGCAAAGAAAGCACTAAACAACTCCGCCTTGTCAGTGTCATCGGTGAGTAAGGCTTTGTTATCATTTTGCATGGGTGGAAGTTCATGACCACGCTTAGAGGAGGACCGATGACGGAAGATGTTAGCGACGGATTTGCCAGGGTTCGAACCACTGAGAGCAATTGATTCTCTTTGCCTGCCGCGCGCTAGGCGCAACCTTGAGGCCATCTCAAATATCTCTGTGATTCTAAGATGAACAGATAAGGAACTAGTGGATGGGTCACGCAGTTGTCGCCTCAACTTTTTAGTCTATTCTGAAGAAAATGAGGAACAAGGGAATCTGAAGAATTGGGCTTGAGATATCTACGCGGCACAAACTCTAGAATGTCCTTGGAAACATTGGACATGACATCACGAAGAATGGTTACATCGCTACAAGTGAGGAAGCCACACCAATCCAAGGATCTCATATAGTTATTTATTAAGTCGCTATCTACGCAGTCGTAGTTCATGAAAGTCTGAACGGTGCTTGTCTTTTTTGAAAAGGCAAGCGGTAGGCAACAATGAATTAATACGTGGTCACTGTCAAAGAGGTCCTTTTTTAAAGCAACAGAAAGAGGAGCAATGTCATTGGTAAAGATTAGATCTAAAATGTGATTATCTCTTGTTGGAGAGCGCACCAGTTGGGACCAATTAGAAAAATTGACAATATCTTGAAAGGGCTGGAATCTGGGTGGGCAGTAATTGGAAACCCAGTCTATTTCAGGGAGGTTAAAATCCCCAGTGATTATTTTAACATCGAAAGCAGCTTCCGAAATTAATTTAAAGATTTCACAGAGTTGAGGATCATCACTGGCTAAAGAATTTGGGGGATTGTAGCTACAGCCAATAGTTGCCTTTCTTTGCGGCGAGAGAATAACAGATGCAAAGCAGAAGCTTCCCGTAAATGAGGAAAAAATCCAGGTAATAGGGAGAGTGCTTTAGGTAGGATTTAAGATAAAGAAGACAACCACCCCCACGCCTAGTCGTGCGGTCTTGGCGGTAAAAATCGAAGTCATCTATGAGAAGGGCAGAGTCAGGAATTAGAGAATGTGTCCAAGATTCTGTTACACATATAATATCAGGCGTCATTTCCAGAGCAATGGCTCTGATTTGGGCCATCTTGTTTATAACAGACCTGGCATTCAATAATATAATATCTAATGTGTTTCGAACGACAATGCTATTTTCGACGGTATTTAAAAAAAATTTGGAGGCGGATATGTAAGCTCTGAATTAATGGCACTTGGAGAATAAGTACCAGTTAGTCTCGAGTTAGTGACGTACGGGGATTCAACAAGAGAAGGCTGAGTATGAGACCTAATGGAGGTGGGGATATAGTTTTCAAACATTGGAATGCTAGGGGAGTTAGAACATGGACAGACTTGTTGGTAGTTAAATAGTGGAGGAAGGGGAGGAGGAGAGAGGCTAGAAGGAAAGTAGGGGCTAATGGGTGAGGGTAGGCCACTAAAAGAATGAAATGGTGGGAAACCAGGTCTATTTTGGAAGTCAAAGGAGATAGGTTGACGTACCTGAGTGCAATTGGCCTTAAGTTTTGGGAAGCCTGAACTAGGTTGGGGCATAAATGATTTAGGGCAATTCATGTATGAATTATTTGCTGGATATATAGTAGGGCTTTGATAAGTAACCGGTACGCAGGACAGAGAATTATTCGGGGATATAATTGGAGCTGCGAGGTTTGTAGACGTGCTGGGCTGAACAGACTTGTTAGATCTAAGAGAAGACGTCGTACCCCTAAACGGAACTGTACTACCTATCTTTTGGGTCGGAGTCTGATTCAATTTTCGAGTTTCACCGTTCTGACGCCAAGCCACGGGTGACTTAGCTGTAGACCTTACAGCACCCAGTTGGACAATAGAAGTTATCGGTCTAGCTGATGTAGCTGATGTAGTTGTTGTGCTTACCTATTCCACCTTGCCACTAGCTTGTTTCCTCACTCTCAACTGAGGGTTCTATTGAAAATACAGAATGACTGGGAGAATTTGATGGTCCGGATCGGTTGCGTGCCATAGAAACAAGAGACTCCGTTGTTATTATTCCATCGTCATGGTTATCCACGTCCTTGAACTGTGGTTTACCACATATATGTTCTTGGGCTCTTTTGGCGTTTTGCTCTTTGCCTTTGTCTTGCTATTTCTTGCGCTGTTCAACGTGTTTTGCCCATCGTGGTTCGCTGGCACGAGAATGCGTGAAGCAGCCATCTCGTTTTCGAAATTTTGGACTTTCAGCAGAATATATGCGCATCCAGTACACGACTCGCCCTCGTAACTGACAGATTTTGTTGTGATTACACTTTTGACGCGCTTTGCGGGCCCCTGGTTGCAACTATAAAGAGGGCGAGCGTTAATCTTTGGTGTCAAGGCCATCCAAGTGACCTATTGGAGCGGAAGACGGCACTTGTTACCGAGAACTAGCGCGCTACAAGATGGACATAACTGCATTCAGCAACCGTTTTTCCGAATGGAACAGGCTTCATAGTGCCTATATTCATTTTCCGAATGATGCTAAGAAATCGGCCTTCTGTCAATGCAGCCGCTTTGTGCGGCAACGGTTGCGATAAATGCAGGACGCCTGGATGGTTTGCTGGGCCGAGGAGATCCTGAAGTATACCGGCCGTAATAAAACGGGAATCTTCTTCGCAGCGATCAAGGCGATTTACTGTTCCCCAACCAAAGGAACCGCACTGCTTCTCAACTCCGATGGTTCAACGCTCCTCCGCAATCCCCGACGGCTACAGCAACCTGCTATTTCAAGCGGAAATCAACATCGAGTTAGATCTTCCCCCTCCCTCCTAGAAATTATTCGCATCATGCAACAACTCTGCATCAAGAAGGCATCATGTACCGATGCAATCCAAGCCAAAATCTACATTCACGACGACCATCGGCTGGTGGATCACCTCACGGCACTCTTCTATGAGATGTCGCAATAAGGACAGGTCCCTCAGGATTTCAACAACGCGATCATCGTCCATCTATACAGGAGAAAAGGGAAGCGACACCTCTGTGACACTCACAGAGGCATCTCGCTGCTCAACATCGCTGGGAAGACCGTCGCCTGCATCTTCCTAAACCGCCTCAACGGACACCACAGGCAGGGACTTCAGTCGAAAATCTAACTGTCTCCCGACGACACCGGAGCACCACTGGCATGGTCTTTTCAGATCGCCAACTACAGGAGACGTGCCAATCGATGCGAACATACCTCTACACCTACTTCGTGGACTTGACGAAAACCTTCCACGCGGTGAGTCAGTATAGGTCACTATATTTTAAGGGTAATAGGCAATGCCTTCGCGAAAGACTATGAAAAATGATGCAGAAATTCAGCTGTGCTGAGCGATTCACGGACGTATTACGCCAGCTCCACGAGGATATGGTGGCGCGCGCGCGGACAACCGGACTGTCTTCAAGAGACTCCCGATTACCAATGGAATGAAACAGGATTGTGTATTCGCTCCCACTCTCTCCAATTCCATGTTCCTTGCCGTGCTGATTGACGTCCACCGTAATAAGCGCCCTGGGATACGCATCGTCTGCCGAGGTGATGGGCATCTTCTGAACAGCAGGCGCATGCAGTTCCCCCACGCACCTATCTACATTACCTTGCATGACCTGCCTTTCGTCGACGACTGCGCGTTCAACACTACTACCTGGCCCCGGAGGCTCTTATCGCTGCTACTTCATGGCATTTAAACTTCTTACTACCCATAGCAAACTTCGAATGCAATTTTATGATAATTTTATTATCCCTGTTTTTTGCCACCACATTTGCCACCTGGCATCTTCTTTACGATGGTTTCTGGCCTATGCTGAAGGGGGGGGGGTTGTTCTAGTAGCCATTTTGCAACAACTGTTGCTTCTACACAGTTTTTGGATCCATTTCATTCGTTAGACACGTTTTAATATTGTCATCATTAGATTTTTTAAATTCAAGGTTAATTGACTGGCTCGTCTATGTGAATCACCCGCCGACCTGCCAGAACCCTAAGTACGACCGATGATTTTGTGTTCATCGATCGGCGATAACCGTAAAAGGACTCAGGACACTTGGCGTCGAGGCCGAAATCCCAAAGAATTTAACAAGGGGTTAATGAGAACAAGTGCTGCCCTGCATACCGCTCGTGCATCAGTGCTCGTGAACCCTACAAACGCACAGTTATTCTAGTGAGTGGTTTGCGAGCACTGCAGGGAAGAAGTGGCCATCATGCTAGCATTTAATTCACCTTCTTTCATGTGCGTTTGTAGGCATTAAGATGAGCCAACTTCCAACAGGCCAACTACCGGCCCGACAAAGGAGGTCCGCGATTAATGAGGCGATCTACCTGCTGGAAGGTGAAGGCATTTCATCGCCAGTAAGTTATGCAAAATAACGCTGTTATACCTCTCTTTCGGCAACATCCCCCTGGGTGATAACACCCCGACAACACTGCCCAAAGTGAATGATCAGGAAGAAATGCTGCTGCTAATTTGTAAACACATGCGGGCACAGTCTATGAAGCTGGACATTCTGGTGGAGACAGTCCGCAAACTACTTGGCCGTTAGCGGCTGTTGGAATCAATGATTCCACGGCAGGCTATAACTTCGGGACCGGTAGCTTCTCAGCTGCCGACGAACCGGCTGATCATCAAATACGATCGGGCGCCGAGTTTCGTAATTTGAATGTCCGATTATTGGACAAGGAATTTCGAAACCAGCTGATATGCTAACGTGTTATTCACACCCATTTGCGTTAGACTTCCTTCATAACATGCCTAGGAGGGCATAATATTGATGAATTCGTCAAGCGAATTTTCTTCGCTGTCTTCGACGATGAAATAAGCCTGCATGTTAATTTCAAAGGCCGAAAGACGAAAGAGAGCCTCAGCAGTTCAAAACTGTATGAGGTTATACTTGGTAAGTCTGCCGTTACTTAAAACTCTACAACATGCAGAGGTCTTCGACGCGTGGAATACCGATGCAAGCGTAAAGCTGTCTGACCTAGAATCAACACTTACCAAGCGCCTGAAAAGGTCGCTCGACAGTTGTGTCCAGCGTAAGAACAATTCACAAATGACCCAAGATGACAGTAGTAAATTGATTGCAGTTTATCACTAACTAATTATCACTTGTAGACAATATCCCTGGATCTTCGACTGATTCCCCGCCTGCGTGAACAGTGTGAGCACAGAAGGGGTTCAGAAAACCATTGTACATGTTAATTTAATTTTTAAATAAACATATTCCACGATAACCGTCTCCAAAGTACCTCTGAGTAAACGGGGGGAATAAACATACGACAAGGAATGGATGGAGGGTAGAAAAGGGCATTGGGTTAAGCAAATTATCCCCCCCCCATTTTCGCCGATGGCGTAGTATCTCGATAAATCGATATCTAATATATATCTATTTTCGCGACAAAATAGGTATCCAGTCGATATATGAATCTCGATAAATAGATATCTATTATATGTCTACTCGATATAGTTTGCTACTAGGGGTATTTTAGGCTGAATGACCTCGAGTTGAACTCATCTTAGAACGGACCAAACATTTCACGAGTATGAGGAAACGAGCCCATAGAAGACACAGAGGTATCCTACAAGGCCATTCTCATGATTTAGAAAATTGTCCACACACACGCATCTGTGAAGGCATTGAGTAAACACGCGTATTCGCCATATAGAAGGACGAATCTCTCAGCGTGCCATCAAATCACGAAAATTATTGGGCACTAAGATGGTACTAATTCATCAAAGTGCGCTAGACAAAGTAGCGCCTGATACTCAGAAATGGCTTCCTCTCTGTGTGAAAAAGGTAGCAACTCAAAATTCAGTCTTGTACACGCATTCGAATATATAAAGGTGGCGAGAGAACAGCCCCAAATAGTTTCAGACCAGTGAGTCTCACAAGTATCTGTTGCAAGTTGATGGAAAAAGTAATAAAAACGGAGCTGATGCGGCACCTCGAAGAAAACAACTTGCTCAGTTTACATCAGCATGGATTTCGAAGGGGTCGATCCTGTCTCACTAACCTCCTAGTATCCATGGCGAGCTGCACGAAATCAATCGACATGGGCTTATCAGTCTACGCCGTGTACATTGACTTCAAAAAGGCTTTTGACAGTGTTCCACACAGACGACTTATATGTAAACTATGTCAAGTGGGTGTGAATGGAAATCTTTTGAAATGGCTAGCCGATTTTCTTACGGGCAGATCTCAGCGTGTGTGTATCGGAAACGCTAAATCGGAATGGGCATCCGTTCAAAGCGGCGTTCCGCAGGGAAGCGTTCTGGGTCCAATTCTGTTCCTTATATATGTGAACGACTGCCTGGACTGTCTGAACTGCGAGCGTGTAATGTTTGCTGACGATCTCAAATTGTGGAAATCAATAGAGAAGCCGGAAGACTCTGTACAGTTACAAGACAATTTGAATCGTTTGCAACAATGGTGTGATGAGTGGCGTCTTGGCCTATATCGTAACAAATGCCAACTTATCCGATTACGTTCGAGCAACAGGAAGCCGTATAGATTTGAATCTCAGTACTTTATAGGAGGTCACCAACTCGAATCCGTCAACGAGTTAAGAGACCTCGGTGTGCGGATGAGGTGAACTCTCAAACCATCGTCTCACTGCGCCAAGGTATCAAAGAAAGCTATGGGTATCCTAGGCGCGATTAGAAGATCCTTCGTCAATTTTGATGAAGAACTTTTCGGCCGTGTATTTGGTGTATACGTTCGACCAATGTTGGAATATTGTGTCTAGGCATGGTGTCCCTGGACGAAAAAAGATAACACCCTACTGGAGAACGTACAACGTAGAGCTACCAGGCTAGTCGGCGGATTAAGTTGCTTACCTTATGAGAGACGGCTGGAGAAGCTAAAAATATTTCCTCTCTCTTATAGGCAGTACAGAGGGGATATGATCATGGCCTTCAGGATCGTCCGAGGGCTAGAGTGTGCTCTTCAGTTTGACGATTTCTTCGAGCTGGAGCGGACGACAAATCTTCGAGGGCACCAGTACAAATTGAAGACGAAATATGCCAAACTCGAGTTGCGGGCCAAATTTTTCTCCCACCGGCTGGTTGAGGGATGGAACAAATTTCCGAACTCCGTCGTCTTAGCGGAAAACGTTGAGACTTTCGAAAGAAGACTAGATAAATTTATGCTTGATAATCAAACATTTACATGATATCAATGACTGGCGTAATTGCTATGTGAATATCTGCATGTTTTTTTTCATACGTCTCTCTGTAATTAGGGTTTTCCAAGGCTCTGCCTCTATCCCTTATATATATACTGAATTATGTACTAAAACGTTGATATATCTATAAGTGGATTCTAGTGAAAACAACAGCTAAACACAATGGAACGATGGACACAGGAAAGACTAAATGAAAAGAAGAGTGGGCGTTCACCGGGGGAGTTTATTTGAGATCCGACGTTTCGGGTAGTTTACTCGTCTACCCATCTTCAGGGACTGGGAGGTCCTGTGCACAGCACTCCTTATTATGGCGCCCTTTGTCCAATGCGTGATCCGCCAATGCCGCCTGTGTGGCTGCATCCAACCCGCATGTCACCGTGACCTGAATCGCCCCCGTCGGCCGCGGTGATGACTGACGGCCCCGATTTTCCCGCGCCGTGACTGTCCCCCGCTAAGAAGGTTCGTAAAGTCAGGTAAGGGGGAGGCAAATTGATGTGGCGGTTGACAGAGCGGTCGGTGGACATCCAGGCTTCTTGCACTTTCCTTGTTGTGTGATCGCCGCCCCGGCCCACAATCTCAACGGCGTCAAAGTTGAAGATGTGTCCCATTTGCGCGGCATGGGTTGCTACCTCCGACTTTGGGTCCAACCTTCGCACGGCCAACTTATGCTCGTGCATTCGCGTTTGCAGCCGTCAGCCGGTTTCCCCAAAGTAGTTGCACCTTCCGCAGCTGCATTGAAGTCGGCAGACAACGGCCGACATCTCCTGCTTAGGGATGGGATCTTTCGGCCGCATCACTTGCCGGCGGATTGTTGAGTCAGGCCTGTGGGCAACACCTATTCCGAGTGGCGCGAGTGATCGAGCCACGACTTCGGAGACCCCTTTAATTTACGGAATGCTCCGCCACGAGTTTGGCTGACTATGCTCCTCGTTCCGTTTCTTTGGCTGTCTCCGGCTTCGTTCAATGAATGCCCGCGGATAGCCATTGGCTCTGAAAAGTTCTCGGAGGAGCTTTATCTCATTCAGTTTGGCGGCTGGCGTGCTGCAATGAGTTTCCACCCGTCGGTACAGCGTGCGGACACAGCTTCGTTTGTGTTGTAGCTGAGAATTTGCAGCGTGTTCGTCGGTTTTCTGTAGACCGACGTCGCTAGTTCGCCATTTGGTTGGCGACAGACGAGAACAACCAAGAATGGAAGTTTGTCCTCGACTTCCTCTTCCATCGTGAACTGTAGATCGGGCATGATTGAGTTCAGTACTTCCGCATAGTAGTTGATTTTATCCTGGTCTATGATCAGGAAGATGTCATCAACGTAGCGTGCCCAAAACTTGGCAATGAGTCCGGAGATTGGTGAACTCATTGGAGTGCCCTTGATCTCCTCGCATGTGGTCCCTTCGAAGGTAAAGAATGTCTTGGGGCAGTGCCCGATGAGTTCTATGAGATCCTGAGCTGTGAGCTGGCCATCGCTCCCGTCGTAATTTTGACGTAGCAGGTCACTGAGCGTTCCGACCGCAGGGGCCTGTGGTATGGACGTCGGATCTCAAATAAACCCCTCCCGGTGAACGCCCACTCTTCTTTTGATATGCCACCTGGGAATCGGATTTTCACTACTATTGATGTAAAAGACTAAATTCTATGCGGGGGGGGGGAGAGAAATAAATTTCATACAAAAAACGACAGCGACAAAGTTTGAGAAGAGTGGCAAAGGCAAATATTTGCGCAGACTCATCAACAATGAAGCCTTCTCCCGTTTCACTCGTTGTGGCGTGATGAATGTTCGAGGTAAATTCCAAAAAGTGCCGAGATGATATAAGTTAGTGGAGCTTGTTGCCCGTGTAGATTCCCATCCGGTGAAATACGACCGAGGAGTATGTACTCATCGTTGAAATAAACTAAACAAGATTGAGACACATAAGCGAAATCAATGTGCGAGTGACACTATGCAGCATGGCGACATGAAACACCCGTTTTCGCAATCCCAAACCGGCTGTTATGCGTATTTTAGACTACTTGAATAAAAGTACAGAAAATTTCAGGACTTCAGTAAAGCGTGGAGAGAGCAGTAGAGAACATACGTACATCCTTCAACCTAAAAAAAGGAAAAATGCCTGCCATCATCTCTATACTTATCTAACAATGTATGGAGGGTTCTGTCAGGCCTGAACCACTTGCCTTCGCTGTATGACAGGTTTTTGTTGCTATTTGGTTTTGTTTGGGTTTCTTATGCTTAGCAGTCGACAGTGGTCTATGACCCTGCTGTCATATCCTGTGTTGTTCTCCACATCTTATATACTGAATGGTCTTTAACAATCGCCGATCGTCTTGCTGTTCTCTAAAACCTCAGATATTAGGTTCGCAATGACCCACTTATGATGTTCGTTTAAAAATTGCCCTACTATTTGATAGTCAGAAGTTTAAAATTTTAACCACATACATTTACAAACTCCAAGATTTATATTTCTGACACTCCTCTAAAATCTAAACTGAATACATCGTTTCTGCGGCTGTAGCTCCTGTTACTTTGGTGTGGCGTTGTGTGTGTCTCCACGCGTCTTGTACATTAAAAAATATGGAGATTTCCGACCCGAAAGACCGCATTCACCGTCTTATACAGGGGATAGAAGGGTTTGCATTTTTTTTTGTAATCTTAACATTTTAGATACAATCCAAAACATCTCCCGCTTTTGGAAAAACACTTGGCGTGGCAGATCAAGGAAAACGAATACGACTTTGAAGCCAACTTGGCTATGCTTCGATTGTAAGCCCCGTTAGCTTAAGATGACTTCTTTTAAAGGTACCAATTTAATCCGGAACTTTTCAATGTTGACGCCGTCAGGCTTATTCTGCTTAAAGCAGTTGCGAATCTCCCATATACTGATATCACTTTGTGCAAATACCTTATTCAAACTGACAGGGTAAGACCGCTATCTAAAGTATATCCTCCTAGTTAATGGAAGAACCGCTATGCAAGATTGTCGAGTTGGGTAACCTTCTGGAAACCTGTCAATTTCACAAGTTTTGGGTGAGTTTGTTTTCACATCATTTACTTCATCAGGAAGCTCTCGAAGAAAACCCCGAGGTCGCCGGAAGTATCTCCGACTGGGAGAGTTCTGTTCGTAGCTGTAAGTGCTGTTTGCATCATACACTGCACTAATTAGTACCACGCCTTATTGACGTGGATGTTATTAGTGACAATCCTCGACCTTTTAACGACGGGCTCCTGTGTTTTTGTTATCATTCTAGATCCAAATTCATCATGTCTTACGTTAAGAACTTGCCTCTAGCTCTGCCGGCTACCACAAACGTCTTGGTCTCGTCCGTAAAATGCGTTTTAGTAAGGCCAAACTGTTGCTGGGGACGGATGGGGCGATCTGGCTTGAGTTGCATTGCAACGATAGAACTAAACGCAGGGTTCAGCTCATTTATCTCACACTCAAGTTCCATTATAAACGGTGTTGGTGCAGCTGGAGACGGGCATTAGCCCAGTCACTGACCTTTCTTCTCACCACCACATCGTCTGGACAGCGTTAACTCTCGTTACCTACGATGGCCGAGCATGACAGGGTCTCTCACAGAACTCATATTTTGTTAGCTACTACGCCCTTTATTTTCCACTTTTACTTGGTGCGACTGTGACCATGCCCGATCTAACGGATCTCGATGATTTCACGTATTGTACCTCTTCGCGCATGAGATTTGTGGCGGCAGATCTGGACGGTTCGATCCATTCTCTTCCCCAGTGACGAAGACCGAATGCCGAAGGTCCGAGAACCACTTCCATGTTTTAACGGATCGTGTCGAGCCAGGCCTTTCATTAACCTCCTCTTTGACTCCTCCAGGCGGGCAACGGCGCCGGACCAAGTGCAGTATAACTGGGCTTATGAGACAGAGGACGGAAAACGTGTCCAAACCACCTCAGTCGTCTTTCTTCGATGGCGTGTAATATCGCGACGTCGCAGCGAGTGCGGATTTCCTCATTTAAGATGAAGAGTGGTCGTCATGCAGCGGTGGTCAGATACCTCCAGTATTCGCTTATCTTCCACGCGCAAAACCCAGCATTCACAACCGTAAAGGCGGTCTAATCGGACGGATGCACAATACACTTGGATCTCCGTGACTATAGAGATGTCGCGTAGCGTCCATAGGTGGTTTCTAGCGACTGAGAAAACTGCCAGTAGTACCGATTCGATATATAATGTCGCCTTACCCTGCATATTGGGCACCAGCCTCACCCCGAGGTGTTTGCAACTGCTTATTTCTTTAAGGTGACAAGCATCACACCCGAGAGGTGCATTCTGGTTAAGGATGCGGCTCTAAAACAATTTGGTTTTCTCAATGTTTATGGTTAGACCAACCGAAGTAGCGACTTAATTCACCCATGGCACCAAAGAGTGTGGATCACCAAAGCGATATTGTCAGCGGTGTCTAGATTAGTCAGCCGGCGTCCGGATGCAAACTCCATACCGTCAGAACTATAAGGTCCTTCGGAGAATTCAGTCATTGGCTTCGTTAAACTGGATGGGCGTCCGGATACAACCTTGTCAGACACCAAATGGGATATCTAACGGTTAGGTGAGATTGCTGTGGACGAGAACTCGTGCAGTGGTGAAGGGATTGTAAGCCTTGGTCATGGTGACGATTTTGGTCCGCACACCATCTAGTCCCATTATCCTCCACAGGGACTCATGATGGACGGAACCGAACTCGATGGTGAAGTTAACAAAACGGACGGCCACCGGTTGCTGGTAGTCATGTCGGAATTCCAGATTGCCTTTCAGTGTGAGTATCAGGTTCTCGCTTTCGTATATAGCTCGGAATCCGAGTTGGTTGGGCTTTGTCCTAGTAATGCACAGTCTGGAATTGTCTGGCGACTGTCGTAGGAGCTAAAACCAAAGAGGGACCCTGATCGCTATGACCTTTAGGCCAGTTGAGAGGATACTGTGTGGCGTACAGTAAAATCGGAGAACTGGCTGAAATTGATTGTCGATTGGACAAAAGGACTTGTCCGGCACCGCGCTAACGGCGTCTCGAGTGACGGTGGAGAGTGCATCATACGCGAGAACACATCTGATCCGGTATTGAAGTTGATTAACTGGTTCGGACAGCTGTGACTGGACGAGGACTAGACTGACACTGGTGTACACGTATGTGTACTCTCAAGAGGCGCGGCGTTGTCGTAGGCACCTGAAGCAGGGCTACTGCAGAACAAAAGCAACGTCGGTAAGGCTTATACCGCGGTAGTTCTCGCCTTTTACTTTATCCCTATTCTTGATGAGGGGCACAAGAATGCCTGGGTGCCTGTCATTAGGAAATACCTAATCTCTCCCTGATCTCTCAATCAGCTCATGAAGTCAGAGCGCCAGACTTGTAGGTTTTAGCGGGAATACCGTCCGCCTTGGGCACCTGGTTGTTGTGCATCCTCTGCATTGCATTGGCGACTTCGGCCTTAGACGGGGGTCGCACGACACTGCATAGTCTATAGAGGGACAAAAATCCGCTGCAGAGGAGAGCGACAGTGTGATGGATTGGTCACCAAAGTTGAGGAATTGCTGGACGTGCTCACGCCAGCGATCGACCGTGGCCGAGTTGTCAGCAACGAAGCAGCCATTTACATAGTGTCGAAGGCTCATCGCTAACTTAGCGGATGGTTTAGTCCAGTTTCCGAGTGTCATCAACATTTAGGGTCTGACCTGTGGAGGTCGCTGCACCAGCCCGGCCTTTCTGTCGGCCATCTGTAGTCGACTTTGCCGTCATTTCCCGGAGTTTGTGAGAAGAAACATCGTTGCCCGACCTGACAGCTGCGGAGTTCTTCCGCCGATCCAGTCGCCACGATGCCAATGTGGGAATCCAAGAATCCTCTAAACGGCCCCATTAATTAATGACTTCAGTGACGTCCATTGGCCACTCTTAGGATTTCTGCTCTCAGGACCCTACGGGTGCTGGGCTGTCGAAGTTTCGCGACATCAAGGCGCTTCGCTCTTGAAATTTTGCGTGCAGATGAGAGGTGAACCTTCAGGCGTATGTGAACGAGCACATGGTCAGACCCATAGGCGTTGCTAGCTTCGACGCCATACCGATCTTCTATCGTGCACCCAGTCGAGAAACCGTGAATCAACTAAAATGTATTCGACGAGACTGACCGAATGGTCGTCGTTTGAATACTAGATCATGAGATATTTATGACGATGCTGGAGATCCGTGCAGGTGAAAAACAGTCGGTTCCGATCAACAAAGTTTATTCTCTTGTCATTGCCGTACCGGAAGCCGAGCCTACGGCGGCCAATAAGGTGACTGTTTGAAGAATCACTGGGTGCAGTCCGGCCATTTCAGGCACCGACGAAGGAGTCCTTCAAATAACGC